TCACTTATTGCTTTACTGAACTTGTATAAAATGATAAATGTGTTCATGCTGATATCTGCAGAAAAACGCTACTCTTTGTGTGATATAGATTAAGTTAACTATATTAAATTCTATAAATATAAAAAGCATACAGAAGCATTTTTGCCGTCTACAATTTAGAATGCCTGGAATTGAGTTTTAATAGACTAATAAATCAACGTGTGTGGACTCTGTGTGTGATTTGGTGGTATAGCCTACTTGATAATGTCAGATCGCACATCATTACAACAACACTTACCATATTATCGCAGACGATATACTGTATATCGCACATCCCAGACTCGACTTGAGTGGAAAATGAATCATCCGCGGTTGTGCGCGCACTTGTTTGCACATGAGCAAAGGTGTTTTTAGGACTTGCAAACGCCAGACCACTGATTCGTCAAACCTGCTTTCCTGCAGTCCGTGTTCTTCTGACTATTTTGTAGTAAGTAAAGAATATGCTTCGGGGAAATGTGTCGAAGTAAAAGTATACATTTTAATTAGGAAATGTAGTGGAGTAAAAGTAAAAGCTGAGATAAAAGTAAAGTACAGATACTCCCAAAAAATACTTAAGTACTGTAACAAAGTATTATTACTTTGTTACATTACACCACTGGTGTGCTGCACCCACTAGTAAAAAATATCAAAAATTATATCTGGTGTCTGAATCATTTTTGGTTTGACTGCAATATACAGGCAAAAATATGCCATTCTGCAGAACCTGAAATAATTTTCATTTTTACAGTGAATGTCTGGCAACCACAGCTGCTGTTTTTTTTAACCCTAAATTAAACAGGGTATTTTTTTTTACCATGCACATTCTTTCATGACAGTTCTTTTTCAAAAAATAAAGGAATAATGTGTATATAAAAACCTGGTTTACATTAAATCTAATGTCATATACAGTATATTCAGGTCCATATACAAAGTGCAGAGTGTCAGACTCTGAGATACTTAGCCTCTCTCTCCCGGTCTCCCTCTCTCTCTCGCCTAAAGATGACACATTAAGCAGATTAATGAAAGAGCTAAAGCTCATGGAAAACCCATCACACTGTGAAATTACAGCACTCACTAGGGTAAAGTCCCTTTAATTTCTCTTCAGCTTGAGTTACAAGAAACAATATCCCCCTCCCACCGCCCTACACTTATTTCAGGTATGTGAAAAAGAGGAATTTAAATGTTAATGCTTTTAATTTCATTGTGTCATGTGTCATAATACCAGCTGCAGTGCGAAGGAGGAAACGTTATTTCTTAGGAAAATATTTGACAGGGGGAAATTTTCCGTCAATACTCGACAGCTTTGCTTCCACTGCAGGTGCCAACATGGAGCTTGGCCTCGGCAAAGGAACACTTTTATCGGAAGAATTTATGGAGATTGCAACCGACTCGATCAAATGTGGGTACAACTGCCTGTGACAAACCTGTGGCTTCACCGCCGAAACTTAAAATGAAAATTAAGCCAGATGCCCACACTAACACATTGTTACCAACAAATGTGCAACAAACGCACTTCACATGCACAGACATTATCTTTGCTTAGCCAGTATGAGTCTATCGATGCCGTTGAGATTGCGAGAAGGAGATTTGCATTGGAAATGTGATGGAAATCAGGCAGTGGCAACAGTGAGTGTAACAGTGAGTGACAACACGTACTGTAAAGCGCCCGTATACAATCACACACAGATAGTGAGGCTAGTCTGAGATACACAACCTGTGATTTGCAGTATATATTGTCACTGACAGGGGATAAAAAAATGATGGAGAGAAAGAGTGACTTTTGTGAGAGGTGCCACTTTTCTTTCCTTTTCTAGCTTGAAGGTATCTATAAATGATCATGGGGACAGGTGTTTACATACACACTCCTTCAGCCGTCACCAGAGCCTGACGGCAGCTTTCACCTGGAGCATATCAGCAGGATGTGAGCACCTGTGGTATATCACCCTGCACATGCAACCCTAATCCCATCTGTGCTCCTCAACCTCCGGTCAGCACTGAGCCGTTCGCTCTGTTAACACCAAGCATTGATACATAAACATACCGGATCCGCTGGAGGAATCATTCAGTCAGATTATAACATCGCAAGTTTATGTGTATGAACACGTAGCCGCTGGTGTAACAAGCTCTAAGCTTTAAGGGTTTGGGTTGTGGAAAATCCCAAAGCAGTTCAAGAAGGCCTGTAGGGAGCTAATCATGTTTTATGTAAATGCAGCAGCTGCACACCTGCCGCTGAAATTAATCATTTTATTTGAACATACAGAGGCATGCATGCTAAATTAATTGACTTTGTTTTAAAAAAATAAATGGTTAGACGTGGAAATTACTGTTTAGTGATTCCAGAATAATATGGCTCATGGCATGAGCTAACAATCCATGGAAATGTAAAGGTTATCCTCAAGCGTATACTCACATCTCCTGCTAATAGAGCTCCATTGGCATCAGCCATGTTCATGTAGTTGTTATTCCCAAACTGCAAAAGAAAAAAAAGAACACATTAGTTATTTCAGTTGCCACCTCCTCTGTGTTTATAATTTACTGTAGTCTCATTGTGCAGTCACCACATAAGAATTAAATTTTCGCTATGCACAAAATAGTAGGGCAGGGAGCTGAATTCTAAAAGAATCGATTCTTTGATTCTGAGGAGTCTGGATTGGAGATTCAATTTCAAAGTTTGTGTGAGATTCATTCGGGGGACTTTTGTGAGTCCTGCGAGTCATTCATTCAACAGAATCATTCAAAAACTCAGATTCAATCATTTTAAAGGGGTCATATGATGCGATTTCAAGTTTTCCTTTCTCTTTGGAATGTTACAAGCTCTTGGTGCATAAAGAAGATCTGTAAAGTTGCAAAGACTAAAGTCTGAAATCCAAAGAGATATTCTTTATAAAAGTTAAGAGTCAACCATGCCTACCTATGGTTGATGGAAATGGCTCATTCTAACACGCCCCCACATATCTACATCACTATGTGGAAAAATTTGCATAACGCCGCCCATGATTAAAAGTGCCTGGTTTATTTTAACTACAGGTGTTGACTTTATTTTACTTCTTGCATGAGATATTTTAAATCTAATTGGATGTTTGGTCGAAATAATAAAAAAAAGTCACAATGAGAACAGCGAACACAGTTACTTTAAAATACAGATTTAAAAGTATGATAAGAATTACCAAACTTAGAATTTCAGAATTGATTCCAAAAATTCTGGAATCAAACAGTCACAGAAATTACTAATGTACCAGCACATAAATTTGGAAAGCGGTAGCCAAACGGTTCATTGATTAGTTCACCCCTCATGTAAATGGGTAATAATGACACAGGAAGTATCCCAGCTGCTAATTCACCTCACATCATCTTGAACTGTAATGCATCAGTGGGAAACCTAGGTGTGGCTTGCTGTCTGTCATGCAGAGACTAACTTTGCATTACAAGAGTGGGGGAGAGTCACACAGTCATCTTATTAAACTGAAATGCCCACACAGGCTGATGCAAGATCATGGTTTATTACAGTAGCTGAACACAGAGCAGCTTTCAAAACAACACCCACAAACAAAGACAACAGAAAAGGTCTGATAATGTGAAAAAAATATCATTAAAACTGAGGGTACATACAGTATATTCAGGTCATTTTTTAACAAGTGAAAATATGATTGGATGGTGGTGGTGTTTGTTGTACAGTATCCACGTAATTTACTACAGATTTCTTTCTAAATTGAGCTCTCTTCTTTATTCTGATCCTTTATTCAATCTGTATTTCTAAATCAAACGTGATGGCAAATTGTTCAAATGGCAGGCATCCTATCTTTTCTTCTGAGACACAAACACACTGACAGGTAGGAACAATGGAAAAGCAAAATGAGGAATTATGGGTTAGCAGCTGGAGGACCAGCACAGAGGGCCCTCTATAACCAGACAAATCATGTATACACACACAGACACACACATGTGAGGACCATGCGCACACACACAAACAACAACCACAACAGCCTCAAGGCCCTGATTCAACGGTGCATCCAACAGCAAGCTTTTGTCTGTTTAAAACAAAGTGATTATTTCAGATGTTACACAACCAGAAGAGTTGGAATAAGAGGGAAAAAGGGCTTTCTTATCTTATTGTGGAGGGCAAACAATTGCAGGAACAAATTAAGATCAGAGCAAAATGAGAAGAGCATTAATTTATTTTTCCATTGCTTTGTTCTCTCTCTCCCCCTCATCTTTTTGTCTGAGTGGTTAGTATGCGAATGTAATTACCGAAGGAACTGTAGCTAATCAACTGCGAATGGTATCCATTAATTAGTCTATGCCCTGGAGAGAGAGTGAGCGAGAGAAAGAGCGGGGGGACAGAAAAAGAATGAGCTGATATGTTAAAAGTCTAACCAGCAAATATACACGTGTACCCGTGCACAACGCAAACACACGCGGGCCCCGCAGCAGCTGCAAGACTTGAAGAGCAGGTGTTTTGGGCTGAGGAGACCTTTTGGAGCTCTCACCTGGCGCATCTAAAGAGGAACACCACGCTGCCTCGCACAATACAGCACCATCATGTCAGCCGCAAAATGTCTCTCTGAAAATGTAAACCCTGAAAAATGATACGGTTTCCATACGGTGTTTGTCCTGTTGTTATTAAACGGTCTTCTGATCATATCAGTGAGAGTCTGCTGTCAGTGGTCCTTAGGTCACACCAGTCCTAGCCATTTAAATACAGGATGGTGAATTGGTGTCGCTTGAGTAGTTTGAGAAAAGCAAATGCTTTCTGCTTTTTTAGCATGTGTCTCTGTAGAGGAAAATGAGTTTTTGGAGCAACCAATGGGGAGAGAGAAAGACAGAGAAGTCTTTGACTAAACATCTCATTAAAAGAAAAGAATAAGCCTACCCTTCACCCCACACTCCAATAATAAAGAATAGTAATACAACACGAAAATGTACAACGAATACAACAAATCAATATAACTGCAGCACGTTTTAGAGTCAAAATGGACTTGCCTGCTATTATTCTGAAAGATTCATCAATGCAAGTCATTCCGAAAAAACAAATGTTTCGCCATAATCTTTAAATCAAAAAATAATTTGCTCAACCTTTCAAACAAGTTTCCCTTTCTGCTGTCATCACTGAGGCTGCTCAGGCTACTGGTAATGTTAATTATCACTATTAAAAAGGGGGATTTCACAGCGATGCCATGGAAGAATCATTTGGGGTTCCACAAAGAACCTTCCAGTTCTTAAAAGAACCATTTTGTTCTTAGTGTGAAGAACATTTTATTAATCTAAAGATCGTTTTCCAAAATAAAGAACTTTTTGTGCAATGGAAAGGTTCCATGGATGTTAAAGGTTCTTTGTGGAACCATAGATACCAATACAGAACCTTTATTTTTAAGAGTAAATGGTCAAATATCAATGCATGCATTGTTTTAACTCACATTCGGTTTAATGCACATATTTTTATAATCCAATTTATTCCACCACACACTTTTTCATTATTAAATATCCAGTTTCACTCTGAAATAAGTTACATTACAGAAAATGGGTTGTGAACGGCATTCATATTGACTTTACCAATGAAATTTGAAGAAGATCAGTTCTTTAAGAAAGTTAAAAAAGCACAAAGACAGAGAAATGAATAGTGTGTGTGTGAGAGAGAGAATTCTATCAAATCAGAGACAGAGAGAACAAGGTGGATTCTGAGAAGATGGAAAAAAGATCATGCCTCATTTCATCACTAATGTGGGCCTACATGATACAAACAGCAAGAGGAAAGAAAGAAGTGTGTGTGTGTGTGTGTGTGTGTGTGTGTGTGTGTGTGTGTACATGTGTGTGTGTGTGTACACTAGCACTGCTCCAGGCTTTAAGTTATTCATTCACACCATCAGCATTCACCCTGTTTTAAATCCCATTACCTGCCTCTCTGCCTCGCATCACTGACACATGTAGATCCACAACTCATGACTATTAATTGAACAAACATTACTCTCAAACGGATATCACAGAAGGACTGCTTTAAATCACCTCTCACTTGTCAGCTGTACATTTAACAACTGATGCCGATAAACAGAAATACAACGAACCAGAGCTTTTAGGAAACAGAAGTTAGCGTGAATGGAAATGGACACAGGGGGTGTTGTTGTCGCTCTTGGCTCTCTTCAGTGAGAGAGCAGACCCTCTCATGTTCATGGCAGGGTGGGATTGAGCCAGATGCCAAATGAGATTAGCCGTGATGGGAGGATGAGACAAACTGAAAGAGAGAATGCTGTAAATGGGTCAGATCAGACAATGGAGCCTCTGTAATTAACAAGATGAGAGGAGTAATGCAAACGCTACCTCTGCCTCTTTAGTGAACAGTAACGAGCTCAAGACACGCCCCTGTTAGGGATAAATTACAATAGATGACTAGTCAACAACCAACTAGTTGATTAATGACATCAAGTTTGAGTTTTTTTTCTTTTTTAGCATTAAACATAGCATTCTTTACATTATATGTAATAAAAAATATACAGTATATATAGGTTTTAAACATTTCTAACCTCTATACTGACTAAAAAGGTTTAATCCATCAATCGTCTATAGAAGTTATTGTTCTTATATGCCCAAATTATATGCACAAAAACACTTCACTCGCAACCAACGAGCTGATAAGTGATGTAAAGTTTTAGACTTTTTCTCATTTATTTTTATTTTTTATTTTTTAGCATTACATTTTATTCATTTATTTTGGAAAATAAGTAGTTTTACATTTAAAAAAACTAAACTGACAAAAATGGTTCTAGCAGACAATCTTTTATGAATCTTGCCATGCACAAAAATGTGAGGCTTCACTTTTATGAAGCTCCTGACTGATTTTGGACACCAGCATCCATACTGAGCCGGGTTTCATAACCTGAGTGTTTGTATATTCTTATGCACGTGTTTCTAGAGGGAAATAAGATATTATTACAACAGAGTGAATTCAATCACCCCGGGGGAAAAAACAATATTACAGAACTAAGACCCGACACAACCCAAACACAATCCACTTGAGAAGAATGTGACCATGCCCAACAGCCTGTTTGAAGAATTACTGAGGTCACATGGTCATTATCTACGAATGGGAGAGCTGAACAAAAATACTGGAGTGTGACGCATATTTAATAAAAATATAACACTTTGAGAAAGGAATTATCCTTGGTATTTTAAGGGAGACAGTAAATCTCAGCCTCTAAGATGGCGTGAATAACACACAATATAAGCGGCACACACAGACATAAACGACAAATGTACACACAGTTCAGGGAGGTAAATGTGTAAACTGACATCTTTGTTCAGCAGGCCCACACAAAGAGCCTAAAGCAGGGCTGTTCTGATCCGCAGGAGAAATCGATCACTAAAAGTCAGTTTAAAGCTAAAATCATTACATGAAAGCACTGCACACAGAGAGAATACAATCACACTGACAGAGACTCTCTTTAGACAGTCACCTCTTCCTCTCATCTCTTTTTCATG